GGTATATCCTTAGCGTACTGGCAATTAGGGACTATAGGTTTCCAATAAGAACAGTGACTGAGTCACACCACACAAAAACAAAAGTTTTAGACTTTAGAAAAACAGACTTTTCTAAAATTAGAATATGGGTAGAGGAGTCATTATCAGAATGGAGCAATTTAAATGGAGTCCAAGAAAAATGGGATTATTTAAAAGTTGCACTATTGAAGGCAACAGAAAATTGCATTAGGCTTGTCAGTAAGAGCAAAAAATTCAAGAAACCACTGTGGTACTCCGCAGATGTGGCCAAAATAGTTAAAAACAAAAAGTTAGCATTTAGGAATTATAAAAAAAACCAGAGTGAGGGAGACAAAATGATCTATAAGATTAGGCAGAAAGAGGCTAAGCAAGTTATAAGAGCTTCCAAATCACACACAGAAGAGAAAATAGCACAGTCAGTAAAAAAGGGGGATAAAACATTTTTTAGATACATAAATGAGAAAAGAAAAGTAAAACAAGGATTAGTTAGATTAAAAACAAAAGAAGGAAGGTATGTAGAAGAAGATAAAGGTCAGGCTGACTGCCTCAATGAATATTTTTGTTCTGTATTTACAGTAGAAAATGAAGGAAAGGGACCTCAGTTGAGAAAAAGGATAAATGAGTCATTTATTACACGTGAGTTTACAGAGGAAGAGGTTCTATTTCAACTGTCAAAAGTAAAGACAAATAAGTCAATGGGACCTGATGGAATACACCCAAAGCTATTAAAAGAGCTTAGTGGTGTACTAGCAAAACCATTAACAGATTTATTTAACCAATCATTGTTAACAGGAGTAGTCCCAGAAGATTGGAAGTTAGCGAATGTTGTGCCCATTTACAAGAAAGGTAATAGGGAGGAGTCGGGCAACTATAGGCCAGTAAGCCTTACTTCAGTAGTGGGGAAAGTGATGGAAACCATGTTAAAGGATAGGATTGTTGAACATCTAAAAACACATGGATTTCAAGATCAGAGACAACATGGGTTTACTTCAGGGAGATCATGCCAAACTAATCTTATTGATTTTTTTGATTGGGTAACTAAAATTATAGATCATGGTGGTGCAGTAGACATTGCTTACCTAGATTTCAGTAAGGCTTTTGACACTGTTGCACATAGAAGGCTTATCAATAAACTGCAATCTTTAAGTTTGGATTCAAATATTGTTGAATGGGTAAGGCAGTGGCTGAGTGACAGGCAACAGAGGGTTGTAGTTAATGGAATATATTCGAAGCTTGGACTTGTCACCAGTGGGGTACCTCAGGGATCTGTACTTGGACCCATTCTCTTTAATATTTTTATTAGTGATATTGCAGAAGGTCTTGATGGTAAGGTATGTCTTTTTGCTGATGATACTAAGATATGTAACAGGGTTGATGTTCCAGGAGGGATAAGCCAAATGACAAATGATTTAGGTAAACTAGAAAAATGGTCAGAATTGTGGCAACTGACATTTAATGTGGATAAGTGCAAGATAATGCATCTTGGACGTAAAAACCCAAGGGCAGAGTACAGAATATTTGATAGAGTTCTAACCTCAACATATGAGGAAAGGGATTTAGGGGTGATTATTTCTGATGACTTAAAGGTAGGCAGACAATGTAATAGAGCAGCAGGAAATGCTAGCAGAATGCTTGGTTGTATAGGGAGAGGTATTAGCAGTAGAAAGAGGGAAGTGCTCATGCCATTGTACAGAACACTGGTGAGACCTCACTTGGAGTATTGTACACAGTACTGGAGACCGTATCTTCAGAAGGATATTGATACCTTAGAGAGGGTTCAGAGAAGGGCTACTAAACTGGTTCATGGATTGCGGGATAAAACTTACCAGGAAAGGTTAAAGGATCTTAACATGTATAGCTTGGAGGAAAGACGAGACAGGGGGGATATGATAGAAACATTTAAATATATAAAGGGAATCAACACAGTAAAGGAGGAGACTATATTTAAAAGAAGAAAAACTACCACAACAAGAGGACATAGTCTTAACTTAGAGGGACAAAGGTTTAAAAATAATATCAGGAAGTATTACTTTACTGAGAGGGTAGTGGATGCATGGAATAGCCTTCCAGCTGAAGTGGTAGAGGTTAACACAGTAAAGGAGTTTAAGCATGCGTGGGATAGGCATAAGGCTATCCTAACTATAAGATAAGGCTAGGGACTAATGAAAGTATTTAGAAAATTGGGCAGACTAGATGGGCCGAATGGTTCTTATCTGCCGTCACATTCTATGTTTCTATGTTTCTATGTTTCAATAAGTATTTTCCTTTCTTGGCATCTACGCCTGTCGTATAGTGGTCAACACCCCGCTTTAAGGATTTATCTCTACCTAACACTCCAGCTAGAGTCAACACACTTTCACTTGGAGATGTTGCTAGTCCCACAGGACAACTTTGTCCCAACACAGCGGACGATCACGTTTCAGGCTCCAGGCTCTAGCACCTCTGGTAGTACATAGAGAACTACCAGAGACAAATTGGGTCGTCTCATTCTCTTTGGCAAATCCCAGATTTGCAACAATTTCCATGTTGGCACATGTAGTTTCAGTGCATGCAGACTTTTGCAGATATGTTCCCAATATGTCAGGGCGCATGCAAAAACCATGTGTCCCAATAAATATACCCTGAACCTTACTTCACGTCTGTAAACATTATGCATTTCCAGTACTTTATAACTCGTCACCCTTCCAGACATTTAGTTTATTTCCTAATCTCTGATTTTAAAGGCCTTCTGTTCAGGTATTGACATATACTTTTGGGGGAATCTAGAATGCCCTAACTTGCAGTCATCACAGCAGCATCCAACAGCTGGCATTACACTCATGGCCCAAGAAATGGCAGAAAGATTTCTACCTGGGCCTCTCCGATCTACACCATTTACAGTGTGGCGCAATCCCATTGGGATTGTCACAGCGAATCTTCCCTCACACTGTAACTGATCATAGACTTATCTGCACCTCACGCCTCAGCTACCCCCATAGTCCCTCATACCCTCCGAGGAGTTTTCATTACAGTATGCAACCATTGTTCATACCATTACAACTATCACTCAACAGGGAGGGGAAGCCTGGTTAAGTAAAACTGATATCACAAACGCATTTCAGACTGCTACCATCCACCCTGCACTGGCACTTACAGGGCATTTATGGGCAGCAGTTATATATTTTTTCTCCCGCTTAACTTTCGGGTCAAGAGCAGCCCACAATCTTCAATATATTCGTTGAACTCTTTACTGGTTGTGGTTAAAAATATCCAGATGCCCCACAGTCATACACTCCTGAGATGATTTCTTGTTGGTCAAAGGGAATGCCTTTCCCTCTAGAAGCTTCAAGGAAGCCATTAGTATGTCTGAACACTTGGGTGTCCCAGTATTCCATAAGGTCACAGAAGACCCAGACACTACCGTTACATTCCTGGGCATACAACTTGACTCGGCATCCATGCCAACAAGTTACCACGCGAGAAATAGGAACAGTCGCAACAACACCAATTACCACCTCCTGCTTGGTACTTGCAACCACATGGAACTACAATCCCTACCAGGTTCCTTTAATTTTGCCATGCGCATCATACCGCAGGCCACGCTTTCATCTCAGACCACTTTGTTTTTTCCTCCCTCCCGAATGATGACCAGGGGCTGTCCCTAGACAACCAAGCCATGGCAGACCTACACATATGGTGGACTTTCTTAACCACACGTAATGTTAAACTATTGTGGCAGCTGCCGTGACAGCTGCCATGGCAGGGGGGTCATTTATGGTTAAGGTCATGGATTACATGAACCTCGCCAACATAGCCGGGCTCTGACTAAACTGGCCTTGTCCACCAGCACTCAACACGCTTGCTACAGGGTTTTCCACTTATACAATATGTTTCATGTCGGACTATCACTTAGATAGCTGGTTTGAGGTTTCACCACGGATGGCCTTCGCCTATTTTTGCCACCTTAAATTAATAATTCTCGCACAACACGGTTAAACGTTATCTCACGGGCATTCAACACTATAAGTATTTCTCCATTCCAAACAACAAGGGTTCCTATCCTTACCCCATCCATACCTTACTTAGAAACATGGCCAAGCGGATGTTCCTGCTAACACTAAATACTGGCCATAGACATACAATGTTCAAACCATGTCAGAACCACTCGACCATGCACTTCCGAGCCACGCACCAATGCAGTTATCAAAACTGCTACCTATCTAGCCTTTAACGGCTTTCTCAGGCCAAAACAATAACTCACTATCAGCGGCCAACATCATAAACAAGAGTGCCTGTTGACCTCTTATATTCTAAAACACACAGACCACTATGTCCGGTCCCTTCCTAAAACTAAGACGAGTCAGAGGGGCGAGCCAGTGCATATAACCTACTACCTTACAAGCAATGCTGGGTGCCCGGTTAAGGTACTGATTACGTTCTTGGGCACGCCACCATACGCACCACTGAACCATTACTGTCGCTGTACGATACTGTCCTTACCACAGTTCATGCACTATGTCCACCTACTCATTCACCGGGCTCGAACTAAACCCTAGCGACTACTCAGGGCACTCCTTTAGGATAGGAGCAGCTTACACAGCCTATAGCCAAGACATCCCCGCACACGTTAAGACACGGGGCCGCTGGGAATCATAGGCTTATGCGACTTACATACCACAGCCGATTCAGGAATTAGGAAGCTTTCATTAAAATGTCTAACTGATGGTTAACAAATGCACTATGATCCTGTATAATGTTTTGCATTAATATGTCTCTTTTTGCCCACTTTTTACCGGCCTACAGCATACGTCGGTTTCGGCACACCTCAACCGATTATTCCTAAAGCTACATCTCTACAACCCATCTTATTCTATATCATATGAGAATGCCCCGAACACACACACACATATATATATATATATATATATATATATATATATATATATATATTTATATATATATATATTTATATATATATATATATATATTACAAATATACAAGATCCAGTGCACTCACCTATCCACTAAACAGCAACTTCAATGTTGACAGATTTTATTCGTTTTTTTTTTTTACCACAGTTGTTTTTTTTAAAGCACGTAATCTAGGCAAAAATAGATTATTTTTGCCTAGATTAGGTGTTTTAAAAAAAATAAAAATAAAATCTGTCAACATTGAAGTTGCTGTTTAGTGGATAGGTGAGTGCGCTGGATCTTGTGTATTGTATAATTTGGCCCCCAGCAGCACCCCATTTATGCATGTTCAGGTGAGTGCAGCCTCCCCCCCGTTTCATTCGTGTGTGTTCAGGGCATAGAAAGCCGTAATGACAGTATGTAACTTATACCTTATGATAACATAGAAAAATGTGAACAGTCAACTGTGGTGTGCCAAAACTGACGATGCGGTAGGCCTGTAATAAAGAGGGCCCACCCTGGGTATTGTTATTAAGTGGAGTGGTGGGAGGGATAAATCGCCAGACTCTGGCGGTCCTTAAATAGGGAAATCATGCCCCTCCCACAACTAAAGGCCCAGGCTTCCATTTGTGTTCAGTATGTAATTCATGTAATTTATACCTTATGATAACATAGAAAAATGTGAACAGTCGGTTGTATTGTACCGAAACCGACGGTGCAGTAGGCTTGTAAAAAAGAGGGCAAAAAGAGTATACCATGCAAGATTGTATTCAGCCTACAAGGACAGTCATATAAGATACATCACATATTCAGGTTACAAAAATTCTTCAAATATTTCCTGTATTTGATGAGGTATGTATCTGGTACATGCTGATGAATTCCATCATCCCAATGTTTTGATATTATGTACCGGTATGTTTCTTCTGGAAGCAGTGGTGGCTGCTCCAATGCGGAAGGATTGTCCTGAGTAGTGGGATGGATTAAGACCTAATTTAGTCAGCAATACTCTTATATAAAGCATGGATTTACTGGTAGTGAGAACCTTACTGTGTAATGTGAGCAGGAGTTGGTTTGCCGGTAGGGTAATAGCTGGTCCCTTGGAGTGGTTTTGGTGTGTTTGAGGGTCAGTATGTAGTGGTCCTGTATTTTAACAATTTGGGATCTCTTAAGGCTGTCTTGGGAAGTGATATTCGTGGTGGTAAACTCTCCGGGTCTATGGAAACCATAAAAAGCTAAGTAGATAGCGGTGACATGATGGTGTGTACTTCGAAAGGGTTGTATCCATGAGGTCTGATAATGATTTGAAGAGTTGACTATGGATAGGTGATCTAGAAGATGTTGGCATGGGTTTTGATTTTTTTTTTAATGCCTTTAAGTTATGGTTTGGATTTGTTAAGAAGATAGAAAACTATGGTTGTTTGGCCAAAGTGTGAGCATATGGCGTATCCCTGTCAGATATAATTTGATAGTGTTGTATGATAATTTTAATTTAAGGTGGCAAAAAGAAGTGAAGGCTACAATAGTTTCCATTGAGTGTTTATTTACAACTTGAAAGTTCAACAAGAATTTGTTATACACCTGAAAAGCCTTGTTGTATGACTTCCAGTGGCGTACTAAGGTGGGGGCGGAGGGGGCGGTCCGCCCCGGGTGCCAGCCGGGTGGGGGGTGCCATGACCAGCCCCACCGCCCCCCCCCCCATGCTGCAGCCGCCCGAGCGCTCTGTATTGAGCCTCAGGCGGCTGCAGCTTTGCCCGGGCGGTGCGTCCATGAGGGCGGACCGCACCGCCCGGGCGCAG